CATTGCTTTTGCCTTGCCCTGCTGCAGATGGAGTATAAAGCAATGAAGACAACAAGAAGAGAACGTAAAGAACACACATTGCTTGTATAAATAAAACAGGTTTCTGTTCGGTACTCAGCTCGGATGTGGTGTGTGTCGGTCTTCGAAATAATGTTCTTTCTTCTTTTGTTCTTTAGGTGAGTGTATGTGTGTGTGTGTGTGTGTGTGTGTGTTGTTGTTGTTGTTGTTGTTGTTTTCTTTTTTCGCCTATTGCTTCGTGCGCATAAAATTCAATTATGTGCTGCATTATTTGTTGTCTTCCTGTACCTTAAATAACCGTGGCATCGTCCTCAACAGATAGACAACAACAAACTGGTGAAAGAGAGAAAGATAAAAACCACACAGAAACTAGACACTTTTTCACCACACATTATCGGCTCTCTTTTTTTATTGTTTAATTATATTCGATCAAAACGAAACCAGTCGACTCAGCGGTTGAGACCAACGATGATGCTGGTGGTGATGTTGGCGACGACGATCGAGCGCAGAACATCAATCGAAAGGCTCCAGACAAACAAACAAGACATGCCATCGATCTTCATTTTGTTGGCTGGCGTATCGAAAAACACTTTATATGCGTGGAAATTGAATAAAGTCGTAAAAGCATATTTTCGGATATTTTGACTTTCGGTTCATTTGACCTGAAGTTTATTGCGTGCAATAATCCAACACGCATCTCACCATTAATTTTGTGTTTTTCTTTCTTAATACTGTATTTTCTGAAGAAGAAGAAGAAAAATGCTTTCTCCTTTTTTGTACAAAATTGCATTTTTGCAGGTTTGTTTTTTTTTTTGCTTTGTTTACTTACCGATATAAGTTTTTTTTTTGGGTAGAAACGTTTTAATAACCAATTAAAAAGATCGGAAATGCAACTTAACACACCAAGCACAAATGATATATATGTGTTTTATCTGCTCGCTCTGAGTTTGCTTTGGAATGCTGTTTCTTTTCTGCTTCGTCGTTTTTTTTTTCTCTCTCAAATTGCTGCAGGCAACACACGGTCACACTCAAAATGCACATACACAAACACACACACAAGTGATTCAACTTTGGTATCGTTCGTTATCAAAACAAAAATATAAATACACTCACATCACTCACTTTGCAAATTGATAACTGTCCCTTTTTTTATGCTCTTGCTTCTTTATTTTGTGCGTGTGTTCTTTTCCTGCTTTGTTTCTGCTATCCTTTTGTAAGTGTATTTTAAACTTCTTCTGTTGCTTGCAATTAATAAACAATGCAATCTCTTTTTACGTGCCCTGTCTATATCAAGTCAAATGTTTTGCATCGATTCTTCACAACAATTTCGCATGCGATAATGCTGCTGGTTGTACGTACTACGTATGTGTTCTGTTGCTGTGTTTTTTTTTTCGGTTATTCTTTGTGTTCGACAGCGTGGAATTTTATACTCGGAGAATATCTGTGCAATGATAAAAAAAAAACGGAATATTGTAATTATTGCGCACATTCCACTTCAATGCTTTTCTAGATAAAGAATTCTACGTATGAATTATTATTTTTTTTTTCAAATCGGAATCTCAATGTATACGGATTTAGGGCTTTCGAACAAACGGATATGCTAAAGTGATAACATAACATTGATTTGTGTCACTCTCCGGACTCTTTCGACAATGCAATTGGCATGTACCCAGTTGTTGTGTGCACACTTTTCTCTCTCTCTCTTTATGTCATATCAGTCAAGTGGGTTTTATGTCAAAGTTTGTTGATATCAATGACAACAAACAAACGAGCCTGTTGTAATAAATGTTTTATTTATAAATCTCTTCTCGTTGTTTCTTAGCCCGAACACGTATTTATCTTTGATTCTTTTTTCGCATTTGTTGCGATCCTTCATTTAAATTCTTTACAGTTTCTTGCCACTTGTTCATTATGCAATAAACTAATTTCGTTATCGAAAAGGTTAACGACAAAGGAAACGTACGCGAAACAATTTAAAATAAAACAACAAACGGAATCATTTCCATAACAATCAAGCGTCTTCTTTGCTTGTTTTATTCAACGTCCAATTGTGTGTGTGTGTGTGCGTATGTTTGTGTGTTTGATATCAGCAACGGAAACAAATGTCTTTTTCCCATCTTCTCAAATAGAGAAATAAAAGATTTGAGTGTCGATCTGTCGATCCAAAGTCACAGCCGACATTGGATTGATCGTGTGATAAATATCTGAAACGTCAATTCCGAAACATGTTTCACCGAATGTGATTTCTCGATCAAAAAATTCCGATCAATTACATTTAAAAGTCTAAACGCGATACTAATGCATATGATTATAATGTACAGATTAAAATGTATTTGTCTCGACACTTGTCTAGATACTTGTTTACTCGATTTCCGGAGGCACACACAAACACAACAAACAGCGACTTTTTTTTAAATGACAAACTATACACTTTTAAACGACAATTGAAATGCATCAAATGCAAAGCGAGAGAAGAAAAGGTGATTCAGAATTTGTCACAGATTTTTTCCAAAGAATTCTCTATCGAAAGACTATTGAGTAATTGATTCTGAGTGATTCACACACAGAGTCGATTCCTGGAAATGTGTAAAGATAAATGTATGACTCTCAAAACACACTAACCGAAAATTGTCTTCTTCAATTTGAATTTTACACGCTTCTTGACACGGTTTCACCAAACAATTATTATGCGATAAACAAAACAAAACAACGAAATAAAATGACAACAGCAATAAATGAGATGAATAACGCGAGGACACTAAACATCGACTAATACACAACACAATCTATTGGCACACACTCACTAACCATTTGACAACAATAATAATAAAATCCACTGACAAATAAATACGTGTATACGACGCGAAGTAGAACTTCAGAGCTCCGCGCAAACGAAAACCGATTCGACAGCACCGAAAATGGGTATTCTGTGGAAACAGAAGCGTGCCGATCGTTTTGATTTGTGATGTGTTCGAACATGCACCAACGCGATGAATGCGGAGCAACACGACTTCACTTTAAGATGTGATGGTTTTGTGGCTAATATGTGCTGGAGAGCGATATCGATGAGACGTAGCAACTCCAACCAGAGTTAATTTCAATCTGAATTTGATGATTTACGCTACGCTCAACGAAACGACTTAATCTGTTTTGTGTTGTTATTTCGTTTTTTGTTTCATTTTTTCTCTTCGCTGTTCATGGTCTCGCTCGCACGCTCATTCGTTTGTTCGTTCACATTTTTGTTTTGTTATGTTTTGCTGTTTTCGGCATTCAGTACGTACCCAGGCAAAGCTCGGCGCACCGACGGAGTGAGATATGTCGATGTGTGCACGAGTGTGCGTCTTTGAGTATGTATGTTCTACATACAATGCTCCGTGCATACGATGCTGTTATTGTTATTGCTGTCGATGTGTAGTTGAGTAGTTTTTTTTTTTTTTGGAGTCCGGATCCGACGATACACATGTACAAAGTTGAAAAAAGGAAAGCAATACATCAAATATTCAACAATGAATTTTCATATTCGATATTCGTCGTTCGGATGTGTGGTATCGTTGCTGTCAGTGGCGCGGCAACCGTTGTGTATTGATTGCACACATTGAGTCAATTACATGCTTCGATCGAGGACCGCAGTGCATTCCTTGCCAGTGTGCATCTGTGTTTGTGTATGTCTGTCCGTTTCTGGCGAAAGCAAACCTAACGGATAGACGGATCGAGGAGAGAGACACCGAAGAAAAGTAAAACGTCCAACGACTGCGAGCGCACCGATGTGAGCCAGCGAGAGAGTGCAAAAATGTATTCGCATATCGTTCGTTGTCGGAGTGCATTTTCGCGGCCCGTTTCGTGGCCGTTTTTTTCTCACTCTATGTGTCTCAAGCATATTGTGCATTGTTTTGTGTGTGCATTTGCATGTGTACTTCTGTGAATTGATTGCTCTTTTATCGTTTGGTGGCACTTTAACATTGTATGCGTTATCACACAGTCAAGCACACCATGTTGCTCGCAATTTTTCGTTTTTTTCAATGTCTGTTTTCGGGCTTGGCGATAAAAATTGAAATGAATGAATGGAATTTGCATGAATCGGCGCTCTTGCCGATAAGCACGATCGATTGGCTGGTGCACACGCCCGTGCAAAGCTCAACACAAGCATTTTTCGTCCAAATCATTTACTCTGCATGCGTTTCGATGTTCCCTGCCCACTGGATAATATCTTTCGCCCGCAATGTACTCGTTGGTTTAGGGACTGTTTTTGTTTCGATTTGATCTTTTTTTTTTGCTCTCATTTCTGTAGTCGGCTGCCGTCTGAGAGGAAGAGAAAGAGAGTTGGAGAAGGAAAAAATTACAACGGTCGATTGCTGGTGGGTTTTTGTGCTTGATGCTACTGTTGCTGCAGCTACTTTATGTTTTCGATTGCTCATCCATTCCAAATGAATGATCCACCACACGATTCAATTCGATTCGTGGCAACAACAACAGCAGCAATAAACAATTTCTATGTGCGTCTGTCAAATATTTTCGCCAGCGTCTTTATGAAGTTGAAGCGTGAAACATGCGATCTATTCGTTATTTTAAAGAAAAATCACAATGCAATAAGCGATGAATAAACGGTTTTCGCGAATTTAATTTGCTTTATTTTGCAATTTTTTTCTCTCTCTATATATTAGCACGTTCGTTTCATCGATGCAAGTGCGCGCATATGTCCGTAGATTATATGGAGCGTTACGAATTGTACAGCTGTGCGATCCATGCGTTTAATTATTAAATCGGAGAATTGAGCGTTTTTCTGTGTGCTGTATATGTCTGTGAGGTTTTTTTTTTTTTATTTCTGCGTTAAATCTCTTCGTGCAAAATGCATTGAATAGCTTCACGGAGTTTCGTTTCTGGAACAACATACACGACTTTTCTACCGCAAGCATCGCATATTGATCAGTTTCAGTTAGGATCTTTCTATATGATTCAGTTTTCAAAATCAAAACCACTTTAACGACACTATTCTCGGATAGTTTGCACTTTATTTTTTATTTTGAATTAATGCATTAATGCATCGGAATAACAATAAATGACACAGATTTGGTAGAACGAAAACATTTTGCAGATTAGAGTTTAGATAGACAAAAAGTGGATTCGTGAGCAATGAACTTGTCGTTAATTTCGGTTATTTTATTGACGCCGGCCAAGGCCATCGCTGAATCCAGTTCATTTTGAAGAATTTTCAGTACACTTTCGACACCATTCTGACCATCCACAGCTAAACCATACAGAACGGGACGACCCACGAAAACAGCCTTTGCTCCCAACGCCAGCGCTTTAAAAATATCCGTTCCTTTTGAAAAATCAGGAGAGAAAATAAACTAAGTGTAACTTCAGAATAAATTACTCCATGCAAAACAAAATCAACTCAATTTTCAATGTAAAAACAAAACAAAAATACACTCAAGATTTACCCGTACGAATGCCACCATCAACCATCACAGTCATTTGCGATCCGATCGCTTTGACAATTTCCGGAAGTGCTTCAATGGTGGCTGGAACAGTGTCCAATTGACGTGCCCCATGATTCGACACAATGATTCCTTTGCAGCCAGTCTGAAGTGCCAGTCTTGCATCTTCGTGTGTTATGATCCCCTTCAAAATGACCGGCAACTTGGTAAATCTGTCGAAGTGTCGAAAACAAGTACCGTTCATTATGTTCGACAAATCGACTCATTAATTTTGAACACTTTCAGCAACACTTACCGTACAAGCCATTCGACATCATTCCAATTAAGTGTTGGATCAAATTGACTCGCCACATATTCATTGATACCTGATCCACCTGCACTTTGTACAATCAATTTTTCATCCGTGAAATTGGCCAATCTACACACAACTCACAACATGGATTAATGCATTTTTATCACAATCAAATTTAAACATGAATCAGAAATGAAATTAGCATCATTCGATTTCAATAAACATAGTATACAGTTATCGTGATTGAAAATAAAACAATAAAAATGAACATTTAATTAGGCTTGAAGAAAATGTTAATGTTTGAAGAAAGAAAAACCATCCAACGTGATAATTATATGGTATTATGACCGTAACCGCGCGCAGAGAATCACAATATACTAACCGTAAATGCTGTGGAAGTTCAAATTTATTTCTAATATCACATCGTCGTGGCCCGAACACGGGAGCATCTACCGTCAATACTAAGGCTTTGAAACCAGCTTTTTCAGCGCGTCTCACCAGATTTTTCGTCAGTTCACGATCTTTGTAAATGTATAATTGATAAAATTTATTTGTGTCCGGTGCTGCTTCGCCTACTTCTTCGATTGAACTGGTGGACAGGGTGCTCATTGTGTAGATTGTGTTGATTGTTCCTGCGGCTTCGAGGGAGATTGGGTTAAATTATGAAACAATTTCAAATTTTAGAGAATTTTCAATTTAAATTGAAGTAGGACTGAATTGAATTGAATCTTTTAAGATGGGTTGTTACCTTTAGCCGTTGCCAATTCCCCTTCTGCATGTGCCATTTTCTGCATCGCCGTTGGAGCAATGGCAACGGGACAATCAAGATCGAATCCAAGCACATTGCATCTTGTATCACGACGTGACACATCGATCAAAACGCGCGGACGAATGCGAAGCCTTTGAAATTAAAACCGAAAATTAAACCCAAATCAACATAGCATACATACTTATCATTTCCATTCAAAAGAATGAAATCCATAAATTCACCGATTGAATGCGCTTTCATTAAGTTTGAGCGTGATTTGATCACCCGATCCGCTACGATAGTAATCCCATGGACTTTTTGGCAGTATTTCGGCCGCTTTTTTCTCATAATCCGATACACACACAAGAGCCATTTTCCACTTTTTGTTTTCCTTTTCACTGGAAATTATCACTCAATATGTGTCGTGCTATGAATCTCAGACGCAACTAAATCTGTCCGCACTCACTGAACGGATTATATAAAAACAAATGTCACAAACAAAATTTAATCGCATTTGAATGAAATTACGTCGAATTGGTGGCCAAGCTGATTTTTGTTTATTTTTTATTGTTTCAAATCTTGCGATAAACACATCATCTTGTCATAGACGTATTCTAACTGATAAGCTTTTTTTTCGTCTTCAAATATTGCTAATACCCATTACGGGCCCGTTTCACATCGAACCTATCAAATAAAATTGACATTTTGCACGAAGATTAGAGTGCTTCGAAAATTGAAATGAACGATTCAGAACGAGGTTAAATCGGACGCATTCGTGTGGTGAAAAGTCTTCATTTGCAACCTAATCTAATCAGACTGATTATATCAATTGGTGTAAAAAAATTAGATAAAAATACCAAGCTGATAATAAAGATTTTTTGTCAAGGCTTTTGTTCACAGTCAGCATGATTAGAACGATCGACGATAACGCTGTCTGCTATTGATAGTTTTTCACTTGTACTACGACCCTATTTACCCATTCAAGTATTCAAGCATATTCATTTCACGAACAAAGAAGAATACAAAAAATCAATAGATTCTTCCAAACATCAAATGAATGTGTGACCACCCTAGATTGGAATTGGTTGAAATCGACACGAAATAAGTATGACATGATTGTTTACTTCTATGAATAGATAGTCTATCGGATGCATGTCACATTGAAATGCACTTGTACAAATTATTTTTAATGGTCTATTAATGGCTCGAGCCCATGCGAATCTCACATCGTAAAACTTCAACACTTATTCTTGATCGATTGTTCTTGAATCACCAAGTAGGCAATTTAAACGGTCATTTACAGAAATCGATTCATTTTTCGAAAGATGCGAAATTGTGCCCGGGTCATTTCTATTTACTTCCCATTTCTTTTGAGATTTTTTTTGAGCTTACTATTGTGTATAGCACCGCGAAGTAGATATTCAAATTGTGTGTCTTGGTAAGCTTGTGGCTATACTTTTTATAAAGTCCAAGTGTGGCTTGAGAAATCGCCCAAAGATAGGCAAAATAGAATGCGATAAAACCAAAGACTTGAACGATTTAGAAATCTTTTGAGCGCAGGAATATCACTGAAGAAAACCTTTTTCATGTATCTTTTTGTGCTAGAAGTGTTTTTGTTTTCATTCAAAAAATGCAAAATTCTCTCACTCACTTCAATCAAAGTTTGATTATCAAACCAATTTCAACCGTCAACATGTAGTGGCGATCCGATGGAACAGCAATTTGTTCTTTGTTTCGTTGTTAAAATAACAACAACAACCAGTTGAGAAATTCTTTGGTCATTTTTATGCAATCATTATATATATATATATATATATGTGTAACGTTTCATCATCGGCATCATCATCGTAATCAGAAAGAAAGAAAAAAAAAACCTGTATTTTAGCTATGCAATGGAAAGTGCATAATAAATATTATTTCGTTTTATTTGTATTTCTGTCTCCTTCGGCTGCATGCGTGATACTTGGTAGCATTTTCCCACTTGGAAGATTCTGTTTCTTTTTTCTCTAGCTCGCTCTTTATCTCACTATCTCGCTTTCACTATCAGTGTCTTTCTCTCCCTCTCACTGTCTCCTTCCCTTTTATACATTTTACTTTTCTGGGCACTCTGCCGTATGTGACCCACTTAAATCTATCTAGATACAGAAAAAAATAACGGTAAAATGCATTTCTTCGTTGTCTTTTTTCTTGTCTGTCTTCGCTGGTGCCGTATTTGTGTCCATGATAATTGTCAACACCACAAAAGAAAAAAAAAATTCAGATGAAATAACAAAATATATAAAATCTTCAAATATTGGAAGATCAACAATATTTTGGTGTCGATTTCATAATATTCGCTTTTTTATTTATTTAAACAGCAAATATAAATTTCAGAGTCATACATAAATGTACATTCATCGATTGATCGGTCGACTGCTTCGACTGTTCACATGCGCATTTCTTTGCGCTTCCGTCTTATTTGCATCATGTCGTTTGTTTTTCGTTCGATCGTTTGTTCGTTCGTTGGTTGGTTGGTTTGTTCGATCTGTCGTCATTCGACTCATCAAAATGCATTACGATCGACGCCGCCGTGATTTGACTAAATCATAGTTTAACGTGAGTGCAAAAGTAATTTTTTTTTTTTCGGCAACTTCCTAGAAGAAAGAATTGAATTTTTGCCATATGGAAAATAAAGATATTTTCACACTCAGACCGAAATGCAACGAACACGAAGAAGCAACGCATGGAACTTTTACAGAGATCCGGGAGCAAATAATATCAGTTTTTATTCATCTACGTCATCATACGAATAAACAATACTTTCGTTTGACGATTTATGTACTCTGCCTACATTGTATCTCGATGGGTACCTTTCAAACGTATACTTATTATTAAATGTCCCATACATTTGAACCATAGAACAACTGTGAACGAGAAATGTTCTTTCGGCTCGAATGATTTTTCGCTGTTGTCATTTCTTTGACGTCCAAATTCTCTGTCGTCTGCAAACACCTTCTATCGGCATTCAACTGAAGAAATACAAACAATGACTAACGATATTTTCGACAAATGACGTTCAAATGGAATTTTTTTTCCCACAAAATTTCCAACTATTTTTAAGTGCTGCGTTTAATTTTAGATTCACATTCAATTAGACGATATATTTTCTATTAGAATTTTGATAATAAATAAGTTTTTTTTTCGTATCACATCAAGGTCTTCCTTGATCACTGTTATTTCATTCTTATATAATAACAAATTATTTATATCGACACACACAAAAAATTGGTTTGACGACAAACAAATTTGAAAATAACGCAATCAGTTTAATTACATTTTCAATAGCACACAAATATTATATTTTAGCCAACTGTATATTGAAAGTGGGTGTCAAACAAACAAATATCTTAATTGTATACCTTTTAAAAAAAATACATTGGCTCAAAATGCTGCAAACAAACTCGTTGCAATCACAATGGATCCACCAGCCAGAGATAATTATCAATACTATCAAATCACAAAATATTACATTCCAATTTGTAAATTAACCGAAAAAAGAAAAACGGCTTAAAACTGGAAAAACTCCGGTTTTTTACCGAAATATTTTTTCCATTCATTTCATTAGAAAAATGTAAAATGCACTCAATCAGGTTCATGTGGCCCATAGAAAACAAAAACAAAGAAGAGAAACAAGAATTTGATTGCATCGAAAAATCATCGCGACCACGTGAAAAACTGAGAGAGAGAGAGAGAGAGAGAGAGCGAGAGAGAGAGAGAGAGAGAGCAAAGAAAAACAAAGACAAAGAAATGTGAATATTAAAATTGAGTGTTTGACCGTATAAACGTTTTTTATTTTATGAGTGCGTGCAATACGGGGCGTTATACAACCGCACTCTATTTAAATCGAACGGATGAGAAGATGTGAAGAGAAGAAGAAAAAATGGGGAAAAAATGTTGAGCGTTTAAGAAATCAAGTTAATGTGAATAAAAGTGATCGGGAGAAGAGCGTGACCGGAGACACCAGCAGAGTTGGTCACAACATCATCGATCGTGTCTCGATAACAGACCTAGAGTTCGAACTCTTTCGCATCGTTGAAACCATTCACAGACAGTTTTTGATGGTGATCGATGCAAGCCGTTTGTGTCCAAAACGCACTGATTTTGTGTGTCTGTTTGTTTCGTCGTTTTCTTCTTCTGTGTTCCGTTTTGTGTTTTAAATGTTTGTGTTTTGAATGTCTTTTGTCAACAGTGGCATTGTGTCGGCAATACAATCGTTTCAAATGTGGTAGAAATTGTTGATTTCATTCAAAGTAGCCAATATTGTAGCTTAAACTAACGGACTCAGTATTTAAAACAAGTGCATTGAATTAAGGTATTAATTGGTTTGGTCAGGAGACGATGAACATTTGATGAAGTTCAGACTGAACAGTCGTTACAGTGAAAAGTGAATTCGTTGGATACATTGTAAGAAGGTGAACAAACTCTTACAAAAGAGACTTTGTAAAGAAAACAAAACAAGACAAAACGAAACGTATGTAAATTTAACTCAGGTTTATCAACAATTTCATAATAATCTATGATACCAAAAATATACCCGAAAAAAAAAAACGTTAAATAATCTTGAACGCATATCGTTTTAGTAAATTTCAAATGAAATTTGAGTTCATTCAACATGCATTCAATATGTTAAATGAACCCTAATCATTTGTTCCTCGCATACCTTATCGTCATACGCTTCTTTTCGAGAATGAGTCGCCAAATTTGTTTAGTGAAGGTTCCCTCTGATCTCGTGAGACGACAACCATTTACCTTCCACATGTTTACTTATTATTGAGATTCTACGGATTGTTTATTAATACTTTCCGTAATGTTCAACCGTTTTGTGTATGTCAGCACTTGACGCACGACAAAAAAAACAACAGATTCATCATTTTCATCCAATAACAATACTGTATTTGGATGGATTCATTTGACGCATGTATCGCCGACATATCCATTTGCAATGCCCGAATTCATCTTTTTACTCGACTGAACTTAAGCGCGAATAGTAAGCGATAAGTTTTGATTTATGCACCAACAACAACAACAACAACAGAAATTAAACAAATTCATCGAACAATAAAATGTTGCTACATGTTTCGATTGGTGAAAAGAAGAAAAACAAAAGCCGGAATTATTTATGGCACAAAATGATGATCGGTTTGTGTTGCAAGGCTGCATCACACACGATGTGCAGATGGAAGGGTTATACATGTCTCAATTTTGATAATTTGTGTTTGTGACATTGATATTCAAAAGCGGCGGCTTGCATTCCTTGAGCCAAATTAAAAGGTTCGATTCGAACAAAATAGAAACAATCCGTCTATTTTGGGTATTCATCTGTTTCTTCAATGGTTTGAAGCAGAAAAAAAAACCGTTTCACTATAATTCAAAATCAAGGAATCCATCTATTTTTAATCGAAATGATAAAAATAAAGCCAGTTTGGCTGGCGGCCTTCTTCATCGTTGTCGCCGCAACAAGGTGAATTTCATCGGAACGAAGATCTCAATTCAATAAGCAATAAGCAGACACACAGCGATGGAAACGTTTCTTTTTTCTCTCGATTTCTCTCGATTTGAAACAATAGTTGTGCCGATTCAAATTCAACGGGCTTATCTATGCCCGTCATG